TTAGAAGTGTTTGGATAGCCAAAACTAACCCAAAATAGAATAGTCAAACTTCAGTCAAAGCTGGTCAAATAAAGATCAAAATTGGTCAAACCGCCTTTGGGTGCCAGTTTCCTGACCTGAGCCTTGGTTCCTGTAACTTATAGCATTCTGCAGCACACCTATTGTTATTTACAGCTGCTGGTTGCACATAATCATGTGACAAATGAACTGATACATGCATTCTCAGATAGTTTTTGCTGCCTTCCTGTTATGATATAAACATGTCAAAAATAAGAGAGACAAAATTAAATTAGGAGCAAGGCAACCTGAAGAGAATGTGAATACCGTACAGGAGAGAATTTGAGGATTCACCAGCTTTGATGAACACTGAAAAATACTGTCCAAAAAGACACTGAAATCCAATTCCAATCTTTCTATCTTGATCACATTCTTCATCTCCTCCTAAAAACGAGCAAAGTAACAAGTGAAGGAATATTAGAAGCTCAAAGTGAAAGAGAGCTTTATTGTTAATTAAGATGCCAAACCTAGACAAACCTGTAGCCAAGGCTCAAACAGTGAAACATATGTTATGTTGCAGTAAATTTGCTTGAAGATTTTAATTGAGCTTCACTAAAATTCTCCATCACTTTTTAAGACACTGGAATAGTCATGAAGGAAAAGAAGGATCCAATTTGCGCTTCATATTGTTTTGCAACAAGGAACCCCAATGTTTTTCAAGAACAAGTGAATCAAAACAAATGAGACCCAAAAAGGTTCATATTTTTATTTAAAATCAATTTGGGACTAACGATACCTTCAACAAGGGCAGCTTATACAGAAATAGCACACATCTCCAGTTAAGCCAATTGTTTGATAATTCCCTGAACCAAACATCTCAATCATTTCAACATCATTGATTAATCAACGATGATGGTTAGCCTGTCGGTTTCCATCATCAACATGTAAACAAAGATTATTTTTCTTGAGATATACATTTATACTAACACAACTTGTAGCATTGTGAGAGACTAAGATTGGATATACCAAGATATATCTACACTGTCAATCCACCTGAGTACAAGTTCCTACATATTCAATTAAGGAAAGGTATTGTGAGTTGAATACTCGAATATGGTTATCAAAGGAGAAAAACTTAAAGATAATATGCTAGCTAGAAAATAAAATATGTGCTAGAAGGATCATAACCACATGCATGCCATCAATAATACAGTAATTGAAGCAATAATTAGGTGCACAAGGATCTCGTTGCCAGCTTCTCTTCATTCCATTTGTTGACTTCATGTACATTACAACATCAACTATTGCCAACATTTATACAAGCAAAGCTGCAGTGCTCATGCCAAGAGGTACTGATGATAACAAAGGTTGTGGTAGCTGAATAGTTGCAGTTCCAGAAAGTTGTAAGGTGTCCAGATTTGATAAAAAATAGTCAGCAGGGTAGCAAGAGCATAAGCAACAGAATCTCTAACCTGAAATGGAGTAACTTTTATGCTTAAAATTTTGATTTCCTATGAAAACTGGTCAAATTTATAAATTGATTAAGGGCACACATGATAGCAAAGCAACAAGACAAACCTTGACAAGTTTTCCAGTTTAGGTTTAGATTAGAGAGAACTGATGAG